TGGGAACGAGGATAGAAATGTTTATGAAGGGGTACGTTTTCTTTGTTTCGTCGGTCTGACTGGTATTTAGATTAACCTTTAGGTTTGCATGGCTTTTCTTACAAATCTCGATTCCGAAGCGAAACAAATGATGCGGGCTAAGATTGCGCAAACATTCCGGGCATCTACGAACATTCCTGTTCCAGCACCCTCCGCCAAGGAAAATTGCGTTTCGGTACGTTCTAAGTTTTTTTCATTCGGCTTATTTTGGTTTGGAGGTCTTTTTTTCGATCTTCTGGTTCTGTTTGTTCATTAGCTGTTATGTAAAGTTTCCATGAGTTGATTCATTGCATAAATGCTTATGCTTGCAATGCAAATTGAGCGGTTAATTGCAGGAGGGGTAGGGGCATTTTTATTCTCTCTCTTTTTTGGTTTTTTACGTGTTGTTCTTCGTCCATAATTGCGACTACTTGTACCTAGGGGCCAAAATCTTCGAATGGCGAGCTGTGAAGTTTGCGCCTACTTTAGACTATAGGTAGTCTAAAGTAAGCGCAGATAACTGGATCAGATTCAAAAAAACTATCTATTCGGGCTGCAGTTGCATTTGGTGAATCTAACATCTGAAACTCTTTGAGATTTTTGTTGATCCAGTTAGGCAAAAATATATTTCCTATTCAATTCAGTTGTTCGTGTTTTTCATGGCGAGATTTGGCAGGTTTCAGGTCGAGGGTTATTGGATAGAGCGTGGTGTAAATCTGCCTGAGGAGGACCCAAATTATGTTGTAACTAAAACAGTCAAAGCTAATTTGGCTGAGATCGCTAGGATTGTCTCAAGCGGAAGGTGCTTCTTTGGAATAAATCATATGCTGATTTTGATCTGTTATTCCCAAATTATTTCCGATCAGGTTTCCTGTGCTCTTGGAGGGAGAAACAAGCGCTGGAAAAACCTCAATTGTTTGTTATCTTGCTCGACTTACTGGGAATGCCATAGTGCGCATCAACAATCATGAACACACCGACGTTCAAGAGTAAGCCAGTCTTGCTTTTTTCGCGGAGAAAGAGTGCATTCGAGCTTTCAGGTATATGGGATCTTATGTTGGAGACGCTGCTGGACGACTTGTCTTCCAAGAGGGTGCTCTCGTAAAAGCCGTGAGAGACGGTAGCTGGGTCATCTTAGACGAGTTGAATTTAGCCCCTACCGATATTATTGAGACACTGAACAGGGTATTGGATAAATTTTAGTCAACAGTATGTCTTATGGTTTTTTCTCTACTTATCTGTTTTAGTTACTCGACGATAATCGTGAATTGTTTGTGCCTGAAATGAATGCAGTGATTCGTGCTCATCCACGTTTTCGTCTCTTTGCTACACAAAATCCTGCTGGAACATACGGCGGTCGAAAACGACTCTCCCGTGCATTGATGTCTCGGTTTGTGGTGCTGAAGTTCGACCATCTACCGCTAGACGAACTTTCTTCCATGGTTTGTATACTTTACTTGGTTTCGATGCTGCCTAGTGCAATCATACAGATAGTCTTTTTTTACGGAATCAAGAAAATCTTTTAGGTATGTGTTCGTTGTGGCGTTCATCCTTCAGCTGCTACCAGAATGATCAATGTGTTGTCAAAACTTCGGCTGAGGCGTTCTATCAGTGGACTGTTTTCAGCGAAAGATGGTCGGTTAGCAGCATATGGCTGGCGAGATTAATCTTTGAAATATATTTTTAGGGCTCATGACCTTACGAGATGTGTTTCGGTGGGCAAAGCGCCTTGCCACGGATACTACCTGCGAAGACTGGCTTCAGGTTTGTAACCTGATGTCTGGAAACCTATTATGTAGGATTGTTTTTGTAGATATTGGCGAATCACGGATATTTTCTTCTTGCTGGACGATGTCGCAACCAGAAGGACGCGGATGCGGTCGTGGAGACTCTAGAAAATGAGTTGAAGCGGAAGATCGAGGTAGGGAATTGTGGAAACTTCTGATCGTTGATTATTTATTTTCTCCATGTTTGATTAATTTTTCGGATATTCTCATTGTTTGTAGTTATAGTTATGTTTTCCAGCCATCAAAGCTGTTTGCCACAGATTCCCCTTACATGCCAAAAGCGGTGGATTTGGGAAGCATAGTGTTGACTCTGGGAATGAGAAGAATGCTGGTTATGACTG